GCTGCACACACTCTTCCCCTCTCAAATGCCCATCAGTAATATTACCAAAGAAGTGTCAATGTCACTGTTTGCAAATATTTCATGCTTGCTTTCTTTTTTTAGAGAGCATTTTCATAAGAAGTTTATCAATAATTCTATTTCTCCTACGAATAACAGGCGTCCATGACCTTTTACTCATCTAGTTGAATTTAAAATTTCACTCAAGAGTCCTGCCCTGGGCACATCTTTTGTAGCCAGGCGGTGTCCCTGCTAATTTCACTGACTTTAGCTGTGGGTGGCCTGGGCTGGAGGCTCAAGGTGTGGCCCTGGTTGGGCTCAGGAGCTGTATTTAGCTTTGCAAGGCTGCAGCCTCGCCTGTGCAGAGTCAACATAGGCTTCAGGCTTTCAAACATTTACTTAGGTGCTTTACACTGAGGCCAGCCAAGTGACTCAGAGCATGAAATGAAGCACAGATGTAGGTCTTAGCAGGAGCTGAGACTTTACCTTTTGAACCAGGCCAGGCTGTGATGTACCCTGGGTGAGCTGAATAAATAGTGTTTGCCTCAGATTGTCTAGATGTAAAATAGAGATAGCTCAGTATTGGAAAGTCCTCAAGATCCTTGACTGGGAGTTATTTAAAAATTAAATTTGTCATTAAAGGACGTTGCTAAGGGCTAAATGGAAAGAAGAAAAAGTCAAAAATATATATGGCATCCTATTTTCCATGATTTTATGCTTACATTATTGAGTTCAAGCAAGGGGAATTACTTCTACTGGAGAAACTTCTTAGGAAAAGAGCAGAGTTAGGCTCAATTAGTAAGAAGCTCTTATATTCCCACACTATATATAGCTGTGCTGCCTTCAAAACAGTGCTGTGAACACCTGCCACTGCTGTTTGCTGCCTGCCTTTTGTCGTGCTGCCTGTGAGCTGCCTGGCTGTGGTTTCACCCTGGCTGCTGTAACCGCCAAGGGCTGATCTGTGAGCACCTGCACCAGCCCTGGGAAGGGGGGGCACTGTGGGGCAGGGGGTGAGAACACCAGAACCAGCAGCAAAAGGCAAAACCAGCCTCACAAAGGCTGTGCTGGGAGGCAGATCTGCCCAGTAAGGAACAGCACGGCCTCACCTGGAAGCAGGGTAAAATCTGTTGGTGAATACTCAGGGGCATTAAATTAGCACTAGTCCTGATCCTGGTCTTACTGATTTCACCCCAGACATGACTGTACCTGAGCCTATGTACAAACCACTGCAAAACACGTATTGTAAGTGGCAGGGGAAAATAAAGGGCTATTTATGACCTCTGCTTATTATATGTTGTGTTCTAAAATCTAGTAATTTAAACCTCCTGTTCATTAATGCTTCAAGCCAAAAGCATCCTAATGGCATAAATTTGCCTTAATTAATTGTGACATTCTACAGTTTGCTTTATTATTTGCTGCCACTGTAGAGAGACAGGGACATATTCTCAATTATTTGAATACACAGTATTTATTAAAATCAAGATTTTTTTTTCCCCACACATACTTGTTATGGAGAACATCCCCTCTCCTTAATCTTATGATTCTCAATATACTGCCCATGTGAATAATAGGGTCATCAAGACATCTACCATTTAGTAAGATGACAGGAATATTTAAAAATGTAGCAGGTGGGAAAAGTATTTTCTGCTTTTCTTTTTGAAAAATTGTAAGTCTCCTGCCTTCAAAATATTTGGCAGAAATGTTCAGCTTTCAAAAATGGAATTTGAAAATGTTATCCATTTAGTTGCTGAAAAAAATGGCAAATTTTGAATAGAGCCAGAATTTTCAACAAACTATTTCAGGGCAAATATATGCTATTTATAAGGAAGTGTTTGTTTATCATGTACATGTTAGAAGAATCTAAATATCTCATACAATTAAATAAACTTAGTTCACTTAAAATGCAAGCTATTGTTCTGTTATTCAGTAAGATATGGTACCAGTCTTTTCAATATAGTTAGTTTTGTCATTTTACCAGCATATTAGATATATTTTTGACTTGCATTTTGGTATTGTTTTACCTAAACAATGAAAGCCAACGCTGGCAATCTCCTCTATTGCCATACATATGTTTCCTGCTTGGAACAAAATGTGAAACTTAATTCACCTATGTGCCAAGCCACTGGGGCAAAGCCAGGTTTGGAGAGAGATTATTTTTCTTGTTTAAACTTGTAGGAGAAACACATACAGGCTTTCAGGCCTTTCTGAAACTCAAAAAAGTCACAAACCTGAAATAGAAATAGCAACCTTATGGGGAGGGAGGGTGAAAATCTAATTTCATGTTCATCTGTGTTGTGTAATTTCTTAAACCATATTTTCCACAGGCAGTCACAGTCTGTCCTTCCCAGCGTTTGCATTAACACCGTTAATTTTTTTGTGAATAGATTCAAAATGGTAAGGAATTGCCACACTGTGGTAAAAGGACACAGTGTCAAATAATACAAGACTGAATGTGCTGCTGAAAGCATTTTAGAAAGAGCAGTGCCCCAGTCCTGCAGCTCTTCATACACGTGCACCCTCCAGGCACAGCACCAGGCTCAGAGCAGTAAAGGGGACCCTCTGAGCTTCGCTGAGCCCGACAGCCAAGGAGAAGTGGCACTGCAGGGAAAGGAGATTGTACCTTGGTGTTCAAGGAGAATGGGATTAGCCACTAACCTGTGGCCTTTCCAGACTGAACCAACTTTATTTAATGAAAATGCAAATCATCCATTGCGAATGTGTTGCGGTGTGAAAGTGAATTTACCGTGAAATTAGTTTCAGATGGGGAGAACCAGCTGAAATTTTTCTCAGTATTGTTTCTTACAGTCCTTTTAGGCACAGCTTTGCCACTGCCTGCAGTGAGAGCTGCAGGAGCCAGGAGTGAGCGCTGGAGGGATTCATCCATCAGGTTTCCCTGACATTTGGTAGTCTTGCATCAGTTAGTTCTTGCTGAGTATATTCTGAACCACCCACAGTATTTTATGATTATAATTCTCAGGGGGTATTTTTCTCATCATTGGTCACAGTTTACAAACGGGTTTCCCCTCCTGGATCTCTTGAAACTGTGTGATTCTCCCTCTAAAATACTTATAACTACAATCTGCTTATTTCCCTTGGTTGTAACCAGAAAATGCATTTATTGTCTTGCAATATGGAAAATTTGATGCAAGTAGAACAGAGCCACTCTAACCATACCTGAAGAAGATGGGCTTGATCCTATCTCAGTACTGCCCTTCCCACCTGAACAAGTGATTAAAATTTAAGATGTAACATACTGGATCAAGATGATAATATATTGTACTATGTACAATTTAGAAAACTTGTAGCTACCACCCTTTCATGAATAATTATTAATTTAATAAAATAGTTTTAACTTGAGAAAAGCAAACAGTGAGTAACATCTACTCATACAATTAATCAGGTAAGGTATGCCTACATCAGTCTGGCATTCAGCTCGAGTCAGAATTTGGGATGGGCCCAGACTTTGTACTTGGCACTGATACAGGCTTTATCTGTGGCTGTGATACGCTGCAGGAGGGTAAGCAGTTCTGTCTTAGGTTAAATTGCCATTTCTTATATATTGTCTATAGCTGTTCAATGCCAAATATGTTACATCCTGCACATTCTGCAATTTACAGACGGTCTAATTCTGCTACAAGTGATACACCAAATAGAAAGTTTAACTCTATCAACAATGGCAAGCTTCCCATCGTAATATTATTAGGAAATTGGTGAACGTGACAAGAATATCCTCAGTGTGGACTGTGACACTCCTCTAAGTCAAATCTCTTTACATCAACTCTCAGCTGTAACACCAGGCAGGAGGATTGAACTCTTGGAAAAGAAATGTTAGCAACGGGATAAAACCAAACTGATTGTTTCACAGGCACAAGCCTTACTCCAGGGCATGGGAAAAAAATCCCAGTCATCTTCAAGGATGCAGTAACACTTCTAATCAGCATTTCTTCTTGTAAAGGAAGGTGTTGCTGGCTGCTTAGCACCTGTCAGGACTGAGCTGATGGGAATTCATACCTTGTGTGTTATGCTGGGAGTGAATTCATTTCCCCACCAAAATGTAAGATTAACAGATAGCTCTTGAAGTTTGGGCAGTAGTGTGAGTATATAAAGGAAGTTACACACCCTGTCCCTGACTCCTTCCAGGCAAACCAGGCTGCTCTGCAAGGTTTTTACAGCCACATGAGAGGCTTGGGCAGTGGTTACAGCATGTAGCTCTTTGGTTTTGGTGTCCCTCACAATCCCCATGCTGCCTCCGTGCTGACACTCCAACCTACCACATGGTCTCATTACACCCCTGGAGTAAGATACTATTTGGCTTTGCAGCCTCTCGGGTTCTCGGGAAGGGCAGGGAGTATTTGCCTTTAATCTGTCATTGTTCTGCTTCCACAATGACAGCTGTGGGTGCCGTGAAATACCAATGCAAGTTTGCTGTGGCGAATTTCCTGCTGTAACAACTTTCTGCAGTCCTGCCAAAACACTCCCTGCTCACTTTGTGCTGATAGTCCATTGTCATGCATCGTTCCTCTTACTGAGCCACTGAATTAAGGAGCTCTTGTTTGACCCTTAAATGGGGAACACATTGTCAGAGGCAAGGGCGTCTCACCAGGAAAGCAGCCTTCACAATGGCAGGAAATATCTGCCAGACAAGAGAAAAGGGAGCTGGTTCAGGGGCTGCAGTGCTTGTGTGATTTTTTGACACCTGGTCTTTGCTTCACACTTCCTGTGTGACTTGGAGCAAGTTGTTTGATCATCTGAATCACTTTTGTAATTTCTCATCAGTTTCTAAAGGAATTCAGGATGCCAGTGGGATCTAAGAGCCCAGATAATTTGTGCATCTGCCCCTAAATTTCACTGCATCCCAGTCCTTAGTCCTTAGGGTGGGAACACCAACATTACCTGCCTCCCTGGTCTGTAGGAAGGATAACCCTACCAGATGTAACAAGACTCTTTGAAGACTTAAGGATATCTAAATATAATTCCATAGTAATAATAAATAAATATCTTACAGTGTGCAGCTGGCTCTCTTTGGCACTGTAAAAGCTCCACTGAATGAAGAAGTTTCCCAGCGGTGCAGAACTCGTGTACGTGCAGAGGAGGGTGGCGTTTCCACCTGTAGTGACATTCACTGTCTTCTCAGGGACAGTCACCACAACGCCGCCGACGTGGCCTGTGGGCAGAAAGTGTGGTGAGGAGAGATCACCCAAGGAGAGATCAGGCCCTGGGAGCCGTGCAGGAGTGTCTCACTCCCTGTGTTAGCAAAGGAACCCACAGGACATGTCTAGTTGTTCTCCTTTTCAGTACGGTTTCCCTTGGGCCTTGTGTGGAAATTTCAGTGATAACGAGCTGGGAGTGGGTAAAAGCTAGCAAGCAAATCCCCCAGAATACCTGTGCCCTTACAACAAATAATCTGAAAAAGCAGTGTTCTTAAACCTGTACTTGCTCTCACTTGCAGATACTCATCTTCTCACTAAGAGCTTGTGGCTAAACCGAACCTTTCTTCTGCACTTGCAGTGCTCTCCTGTGCTTGCACTCTCATTCACAGCTGTGTCTTGCCCTATTTTCCAGCCTTTTTGGGGTTTTTTTTGCTGTTATTCTTTTAGATGTCTGATCTGCTTCACTGTGGAGCACCACCACCTGTTGTCTCTTTCATTCTTTTGTTCTGACTGGGACTCCATGACACTGTTGGGTCTCTCAGGCTGGAGCCCAGCAGCCTTTGGCTGCTTTTCTTTTGCTAATTACTTTGCTTTTGTTTAGATTTCTTAGGGTTTACATCCAGAAGCTGGTTTTTTTCCACACCAAGCTAAGCTTTTTGAATGTGGGTTGTGCGAAGTTCTATGATAACTTGATCAACCCTTTCTGCTGTGCTCAAAGCAGAGAGGGAGCAAACATGACCTGTGAGCCCTTCCCCATAATGTTCTGATCAGTCTTGAGTACAAAGTCATAGAAATGAAAGGAATCAAGCACCGTGTTACAGTATTTATCTGTTTCTATCCTCTCTGTAACCAGCGATGGTGACACACAGCAACAAAGCCTGAACTGTCAGAAACATGCATCTGAATTTCAGGGGGTTTGTAGGTTGCTGAGCTCAGTTTTAAAGCTACTGTCTAAAGATTCAGAAGGAGAATATATTTCTTTTGAATGTGATGGAAAGCATAAGTCTTTTTGAGATTTCTGTGCAAAACAGGCAAGTTGAGAATTTCATCTTATAATAATATTCATGTGGGTTTATTGCACATATTAATGATAGAGGCAAAACATGTAAAATATTCTTCTCAATGTAATATCTGTGCATTTTATGTTCAGGTGCTGCTTTTGAGAGTTTAAGCAGAAGCTCCAGTAATACCAAATGCTGAAATTATCAGCCCAGTGAGAGAAAACATTGTTTAAAAAGCAAACAATCTATTTTAATATTTTTAACCATATAAATACTGTAGATTTTTCAGTTGCTACAGCATGCAAGCCTATCTGAACTCTGGGTACTATTTTCCTTTTTTGATGGCTTCAATAGTAAAAGCTCACTGCAAGGAAGAAAGGAATAATCTACTTTCCATGTTGATGGAGCTAGGATGAGAATTAGTGGGTTTAAACTACAACAAGATTTATATTATATGTGACGATAGTCTCACAGGAATGGCTGGAGACTGACCTAGATGTGTCAAACCTGCCTTGGGGAAAGAAGGGATCCCAGGGCTGGCTGCCAGTCCTACTTGTCTTGTGAGTTCACAGCAGCTTAATCCGTATTGAGATCCAGTATAAAAACTGTGTCATATTATTTTAGGTATCTCAGTTCACAGTTCTCAGCTTTAAGCATTAGTGTTGGCCAGAGGATGATAGTTTCTTGCCACACAGTTTACACGTATTTATTTTCTGCTCTTTGCAGGATTAAAGCCACGGTCTTGCAACACAGTGTCATTCTACTGAAAACATCCATTTTCCAGTCATCTGCTCCACGTATTTCCTTTATAATTCTCTGGTTTTGGAGTCAGGAGTGCCACAGAGCCTGACAGTTATAAGCTTTTCCGGCAGAAATGAATTTTTAGCAGAGACAAGCATTCTAGTTTCCATAAAACTGTATATTTTGAAGAAATACAATTAATTGAAATAGGCTTCACTCCAGTGAAAAGATAAAGTCAAAGCCTGTAAGACTGACCTTGTCCAGTGAGCTATTTAAAGCCAACACTAATTGCAAGATGGAGCTTTTGATTGACAGTGGAGTGAACTGGACCCACAGAGCCTGTTCCCTCATCACGGATGTTAATGGGAGTTTCGCTTTGCATTTAGTTCACTTTTTACAGTTTCTAACCCCTAATCCCATTTCATACATACAGGCCTTTTGGTTTAAATGATAAAAGTGCATGAGTAAGAACTAGCTCAGTGAAAAAAGCTAGTGTGAACATGACCACAACTTGTTTAGAACAGTTGATCCATGTCTTTCACTCATCAATATTATGGTAAGGCCTTTTCCTTCCTACAGAGGAAAGTCTTTGCAGTTAATTTGGAATCTTCCACTTTCACTGAAGTCCTTTGCAGTGTTTAATGCTCATGAAGTAAATCCAAGTTTGCTGAGCTTTTTCTAGCCACAACAGAAACCACCAGTCAGTGGCACCCATCAGTCTGGACACACTGCTAGTCTTAAATCCAGAACTTTCAAATTAGAAGACATTGTTTTGAAAAGTATTGATACCAACTCTGAATTACTTTTCATTTCTAAGGTAAAAATCTGTTGGGTTTCTGTCTATGTGAGAGTTAGAACACTGAAAGACCAGGAGTATTAATATTTAATATTTAAAATATTTCGATGGCATCCAAACCAGATAATTCCATCTTGAAAAGAACACGTGGAAACTAACTTCCATTTTCTGTAGTGGATACAGGGGCTGTTCATCTCCATGGAACATTAGACTTAAAATGCCTGCTTCTGTATATATTAAGAGTGAAGCTTAGCACAATGAAATGTCCTTGAAACATAACATATAATCTTTAATATGCCATATAATTCCTAGATTCCACAAAATTTATGTTATCACTTAACTTCAGGGAAATCCAAAGATTATTTGCATGCTTAAAGTTAAACATCCCCCCAAATTTTTAGGTGGCGGTGGGACTGAGTCATCATTTCCCAACCCTATTACCAAGGGGAGACAAGAGCTGAATGTGGGAAAACCCAACCTTGAAACACTTGAAAGACCCAAACGCTCCATGCAAGAGCTCTTTGCCTCTTCCTGATGTTAGAGCAAAGCATTAATCTACCAAAGCTAAAATTCTGTTCTTGAGCAAAAATCTCTTACCAGGCAACGGTCAGTTTGCAGATTTCCACAAAATGGCCTAGTAGTACAGCCTTGATTTTCATTCCATCCTGAAATAGATCATCTTGAATGTTCTAGTTTGCTAGTCAGGTTCATCTGCTCTCTCACTTCAGCAAGTTCTTTAGTCCAGTGCTATTTCTATCAGTTTGTTATTCTTACCTGCGAGGACGGCAAGAATTGAAAATATCTTCAGCATCGTTGCACACATTGTCTTGACTCTAGGAGAGAAAAGAGACCAGATGCTGCTTCTGGCTTCAACTGAAACTCAACTGTTTTATTTTTTTGAGTCGGTTTTTGTTTTCCTTATCAGCTGTGTATCACCACGTCAGTGAGCTGTTTCATACTCCTTTATCACGTGTGTGCCTTTCTCCGACTAGTGGTGTGACGGTTCGCTTGAAACCATTTTGTGGGGCTTGAGCAACTAAGGGTTTTGTTAATAATAAACCTTTGAATCAGAGAACCACAGGTTCCCCCACTTTTGCCAGGGCCCAGCAGTATTTGTCCACCTAAGTAATTCCACTGAGACAAGAAAAGTATTTGCGGAGCTATTTAACAGTCAATCTGATTACCAGTGTTGGAGTCAGGCCTAATATGAATAAGAAATAATCTTTATTTCCTTTTAATGCTATAATTTGTTTTCAAAAATGGGCATGTGGTGATAATACACTGGCAGTACATTTTCACTTTCAAACATATATCTTATACAGTTTTATACAGAATGATTACATTGGACTCAGGATTGCCTTCAAATTTCCATATTGAACTCATCAATAAGAAAACATACCAAAATAAAGATCAAATAAAAGTTATCTTCTAAACGGGTAGCAAAATCTGTTTCATGCAGTTTTAATCCATGAAGTTCAATGTTACTAATTAAAAAAATGACAAGGTGAAAATAATGATTTTTACTTAATTGTCAATACCGGATTTATATAGTGAAAAAAGCAGTGGATGGAGGTTAGAACCTGAAGAATTAGAATAACTTAGATTTCTTTGTCCTTAATGGTTGCAAAACACCCTGTCTGCAGCTCATTAGGAACTGAAGGTGCTCAGCTTCCTTTTTGTGTTGTGTCATTTGACTGAGGCTAATTCCAAGCCCCAGGCTGCAGTGGGAGTAGCTGGCTCTGCCTACAAAGCCAGAGTGAGTGAGTGGCTGAAGATGTAACAGAGGGCAGCATTGCCTTTTAGATGTGTGCCTGCACCTAGGAGCAAGGCAAGTAAAATAGCCAGTGACTTTTTTCCATGCTTGTTGAAAGCATGGGTCTAGTTAATGCCTGATGATCCCATCTTTCTAGTGGCAGGCAAGGGCAGCCACCTTTTCCCTGGGAGGAGCCCTGGTATGGCATGGGAAGCCTGTTTGGAAGGTGGGGCTCAGCATTTGGCCAGGTTGGAGGGGAGAGGTATGTCCAGAGTCTCCCTCATCTCCCATGTGATGTAGTGGTACATTCTTCAGCATAGAAGTTGTGAGTTACTGGTTGCATCAGTTACTGTTGGGATCAGATTTATGGACTTAAATTAATTTTATTCTCCCAGATATTTCTGTGTGTGGCAGATGCTTGAATAATCTCTGGACAGATGGTAGGGTTTGGTGATATTCTTATATGGGCCATCTCCAAAAGTTTTATAAAGGATGTCTTTTCCTTATTTCTGACTATCAGAACTTCACACAGCATTCCCACAGGGCAGGCAGTGCTTGTCTTTAAGGGATGGGGAGGGCGAAATTTGGAACAGTTAAATGTCTCATGCAAGGATTCACAGGTGACCCAGAGTCCAAAAAGGAATGTGTACGTTGAAAGACTGAAATTCAAATTCAGATTTCTTCCAAAAGTTGAAAATCATTTAGATTCACCTTCACTAAGGAAGCGTGGAGTGATTCCAAGTGCACATGGCAAGTTCTCACTGGCTTTCCCCAGGTCAGCCTAAAATGGGAGCTGCTGCTGATTTCCAGTCATTTAGTTATGGATGAGCACAAATGATCTGAACATGAGACAACCTACAGACCCATTTCAGTGCTTGCCTGTGGCAGCTCCATAATGCCCAGAAGTCTGACTAGTAGTTCACAGAGCACTGATCCTTTGCAAAAGACAGCAATTTTCAAGAAGATGCAAAAAAACGTTGCCGCCCTGCACAGCAAGGCAGCACCTGCACAGTCCTATTTCTTTACCACAATATCAGTGTGTCCTCTAATTCTCTCTCATTTATCAACACTGAAGTCCTTTCTCTGGCACTTAAGGCCCCTTCAGCTAATATACATATACACATATATAATGTGCCCTGTTACATTCTATTTTTGCCAATTACTACATGCTCAGTCTGACAGAGAATAGGAGCCAAGAACACAACACAACTTCTACACTAATATGTGCCTGTTTAAGCTGGGGACACAGGGCTGAGGTTGCCAATTACAGAGTGGGTGTAGCTCATAGCAAATGATGGCAACCATCCATCCTGTTTTACAGGGGATACCGAACACCAGGAGCATTTCCATTTGACTATTACCCGCCTGGGGCCCATTTCCCATGTCAAACCAGAGGTGTGTACCCCGACACTGACCTTCCCAGCCCTCCGGGGTTATTCTCTGTCAAGGTAATAGATGGCATCTGTCAGCTGCTGACTTTGCTTCCAGCTCATTGCTCCTGGAGAGCAGCACTGCCTGTTCAGGTCACCTTAGGAGAACTGAACACAGAAAGCAAAATCTGGTTTGGTTTGATGATTTAAGTTACAGAGGGACGACAAAGAAGCTCTTGCTTACACTGCCAACCCTCGGCTAAGAGGAGAGAACAGCCCAGAGTGCAGCAGCACAGCAGCCACTTTGCCATGGGTGGAGCAAAGACTCTTATCTCCAGATAAAATAGAAGTGGCCAGTACCAGGAACTGTGTGTTAACAGACTTTGTGAGTCAAATCTGTGTACACTGAAACATATTCAGAAATGTTCCCTTTCAAGCAAATACCCTTGTATTCACTCTCTAAATATAAGTGTCAGTCATCAAAAAATGAAGCCCAGAGGCCCACCCTGAGCAAGGCAGCATTGTCCAGACAAGCATTGCCAGAATATTTAGGAATTGCTTCTGTTGGCCTGAAACCTAATTAAAAAACTTCCTGTAGAATTCCATGTTTCACTTAACAAAGCTCAGCAGCATTTCAACAGCTTTGTCTTCCTGAAATATGCTAAATCTGTAATTGTTTGAAGACATCAAACCCAGTGATTTATAAAGTTCTCTAGTTCAGTATCACAGCTGATGGCTGGGGATGAAGAGAAATGTGTAATTAAAGATTCAAACAAGTACAGTGAAAGAGCTGCTTTAAGCCTTTAAATCCATCATTAGGTTGATTTTCAAATGCACAGTACAGTTTTCCTGCCTGTTGCACAATTGTGGTCTAAAAAAATATTTATAAGCTTTTCTGCCTAAAAGTAAATTCATGAACTCACTGCTATTTATAAACTTGCAGAGAGTGAAAGACTGTAAAGGTACCAATAATTTAAACTCTTCTGAGGAGAGCACCATGGCTTGTCACCACAAATTAGCTTGGACAGAAATACACCTAATCCTCTGTATCCAATTCCCAGAATCAGCACAGCTTGTTATCAAAAAGCACAATTCCATTTTCTGGTAAAGGGTCTGGACTGGTCTTTTTTTATTGTCCATTTTCTCACTCAGGAAAGAAGGTCCTTTTTCCTTTTAACCATTCAAAAGCCAGCATTTCCTAGAGCAAACTCCCTGCCCAATAGGCTGTCCACTTTGGGGGGGGGGGGGGGGAAGGAAAAGCACTGAAATGAGATAGAGCAGAACATTGATTGCCAGGAGATCAGAGAGCTGCAGGCCAGGCATCAGCACTTCAGGCACTTTGCCCTGGCTGTGCTGGGAGAGCTGCTCAGAGAAGAGGGCTGGGAGATCTGGTGCAGAGTGTGTCTTGGGGCAGCTGTTAATGCCCATTTTAAATATACCCCTGTGGGGCTGCAATGGCCAGGATGGATATTCTAACATTTTCCACATTTCTGGACTATTGCAGCTGAGGTAACTTGAATATTTTAGACTGATAAAAAATGTGGCAGTCAGTTAATTCAGCAGGATGTTGTTGAGAACATGCAGAATGCTAGACCTCTGCCATCTGAGCTGGCCTGTTTGACAGACACAGACGATGGAAGAAGCTTTTTTATCTTGTGTCGCTTTAGGAAGCTGCTGCCTGCTGTAGTCAAAGGGATTTGTTTGTGTACAACACATTGCAATAGAACTGTAACACCTGTACCCACAGCAGTGTGTATTTAGTTACCAAGTCCCGTGTGAAATCACTGTGAATTTAAGCACCTGGATAAATTTGTGGATCTGGCTCAGGCCTTTTGTGTTGCTGGTAACACTCCTCTGGTCTTCCCTGCCTTATGTCCTGAGAAAAGCATGAAAAAACAGAGAAGCAGCTGCTCGTGATGCTTCCCCAGACCTCCTGGGGATGCTGGTGTAGCATCCATGTAACCTGGAACTGGGCTGTCTTGGATCGTGCTGGACCACGATGATGGAAGTATTGGAGGGAGTTTTGTCACAGAAGCAGAGCGATGGTTCTGCAGCAGTTGAGGTGTTATTACAAATGGTAAGTTTTAACCCTTTGTGTGCAGGTGAGCTGAACACCACGAGTGCCCTGGCTGATGCAGGCTAGAGAATGACTTTCTAACAGAAAGTGCTACCATCAAAGAGTCCATTTATGTGCTGTGGCTCAGGTGTGAAAACCAAAGCAAGCTCTCCACTGCATGATAAATCACAGTAAAATTGTTCTGGTTTTGTACCATTGCTGTTTCCTTGGATTTGCATTGGCTGCGTCACTGTTTCCCTGCATATGATTAACTCTCCTTGTTATGTCTTCCCCCTCCCCCCCCTTTTTCTTTTTCATGTGGCTTCGGAATTGAAGCTAATCAAGCAAAAAAAAAAAAAGAAAAGGAAAATTCACAGTGAGGATCTGGGGATTAAACTGTCTGTCAACCTTATCAGAGGGAAAGGTCTTTTTTCTAATCATTGTTTGCATTTTCATAGGTTAACAATTTTTGAAGCTGTTAAATGATATTGTTCCTTCAGTTTGGCAGCATTTGTTGTACTTGTCTACAATGAAAAATGCTTTCAGCTTAAGAGTGCATGGAACTGTTTAATTTGTATGGTGCCTGCCTTAACAGGTATGATAATGTAATTTTAGGATTACTCTGCCAAATTAAAACCTGGCATAAAATTCATACAATTGGGCTGAACTCTAGGCTTTCCAGCATCTCCTGCTGCCTCTGAAATGGAGGGTTCAGGTGGATTGATGTTAAAAGGATGTGTTTCATGCTTTCAAACACACCGGTTCATGCTGTCAAATGAATACCAGGTGATCTCATTCTTTATTTTAAAAAATAGCTGGTTTTTAATTCTCACTGTTTCAAGGAAATGCTTGGACATAAGAGGCCTCAGTGCTGACCTCAGGTGCTCCCTACTCCATGTAAGGAGGAATTGCTGCAAACCTCTTTGCTTTTGGCATGTTCCAGTTTAGAAAAGTGACTACAGCAGCCTGTGTGTCTGAGCATTGCTTTGCCTGCCCAGGTTTCACCTGGCTGTGAATCCTTTTCATTTTAACTCACGTAACTGGCGGAGGGAATTGAGAAGCTCTTTCTGTGTCCAGGCTCTGCAGCTCGGCTGCCCTCTGAAGGAACCTGAGTTTAGTGAGGTTGTGTGGCCTTTTTCTCGGGGAGGCGGAATAATATTTGTATATGCCATTAATTATTAATTAATGGTTGTATAGCTCGTTTTGCCTCAGCTGCCCTTCTCCTGGCATGCGTGCTGTGGGGTCCCTGCTGGCAGCTGGAGCCTGGCTCTGCCCACTGACAGCCAGCTTCCCAGCACCGCTCCAGCACCAGCTCCTTGAGGGGGGATGTGATGGGGCATTTTCCTTGAGAAACTCTGGATGCCTGGAAGCTGAGCAGTGCCTAGGAAATGCTGCAGTTTGTTAAGGTGAGCAAGTTAATGTGAAGTGAACCAAAAGCAACTGCTTGCTTAGTGCCTTTCTTAATGAGACCTTTCCTTTTGATTCCCAGGGGCTTCCTACTGGGAGAAGGTTACTTGTTTACTTGGTTTTAATTCTCAGGAAAAATGATAAGATGCTTCCTTTCCTGCTTTGTTAATGATCTCATTAGAGTTGTCTTAATTGTTTTCATTACATTGAGTATGGCAGCACAATGATGTGATGAAGTTGTGGAGCAGAGGATCATCAATCCTGAATAAAAAAACAGTGTGGAAGACCAGCTGAGATAAACCTAAGCACTTGTTTTGTCCTGCTTTTGATTTGCTTGTGGCAGGCAACCAAAGTTATTCATCAACTGACCCTGTAGCCTGGCAGCTTTGTTACATATTGCTGTTCAAATTTTTTTGGAAGCACTTGTTATCCTTCAGTGATCAAGTAGGCAGTGAGTTTGCAAAGTGGAGGGAAGTAATGGAAAATGAAACTGTCAGCAGCCTGTACATCGTGGGAGCAGCTGGGAAAGCAATCACTCAGATGACTTCATCTCAAAATCACATGAATCTTAATAGCGTGTGGGGTGTAACCTTTGAAGAACAACTGTCTAATTCAGTTGTACACAGCAATTTGCTTCAGACGGGCTAATAAAGGCAGTGGGGCGGCCCAGCCTGGCACAGTGACATCCCTGTCACGCCTTCCCTCATGGCAGCAGGGTTTTGCAGCTGTGCAAACACATCCCGTTGGTGGGGAACCCACTGATCCGTGGTCAGTGGTTGTGGCCCATTGCAGGCCAGCCTGTGCCCCCAGCCCAGCTCCCTCACGTGTGCCTACAGCCAGGCTGTGTCCTGCACATTTCCTGTGTGTGGCCATGTCCTTGCTCCTGGCTGGATTTCCCTGGGGCTGGCTGGTGCTGCAGAACCCCAGGCACCAAGCAGTGTCCCCCCACTTCATGAGGGCCCACGGCGCAGGTACCCACAGTGCTGCCCACGGGCCCCTCTCATCAGCTGCCTCCCCTTGCCCAGCTGGGCTTCTCCTCACCTCTGCACCCACAGAGCACTTGCTGCAACAATTCTGGTTTGTAAACTGCCCTGTAATTCCCAGGCTCTCACAAGGAAAAAGAAAAAAGCCACAGGCTTGTATGGGCATCCCCCAAGAATCAGATTGCTTTGTAAAATTCTCAGAAGTGCAGTTGGGCTCTTTTTGCTCTTTTTCTCCCCAAATATAGAGTACTGATTCTGTGCCAGAGATGATGTAAAACTCCTACTGGGTGGCCTTTGCTATAATGTTCAATAAGTGATATGTTCTTGGAGCCTGTATGAAATGCTGAAAAGCTTCCAATTCTATAAGCAGGCAGCCCCCAGAAAGAAAGAATGGCTTAAAACCTGGTTCAGGGACTTAATCTATCAGCACCACTGATGTGACTGGTATTGAATTAGCATGAGCTTTTCATTCTGCTTCTGCCCCTTTTCATTCTGCAGGTTAACGTCATGTATCCATCTGGGACTGTTCTGTTGGCATCTGTCACGGTCACTGTCTGCATCCCTCCAAAAAGCTGTTTTCAGTTCACTGTGATTTTAGGAGGCAGGTCACCCCCTACTTGAGAACTGACCTGAAGCAGACCAGAGTGGTTGTACACTGCTAACAGTAATTACATGCAATTAAAATGTCTTCCTGGGACAGCAAGACCCTGACCTTCAAATGATCATTTACAGCCTTGGTTTGAGTCGTGTGGCGTCAGTGAGATGGTGCAGCATTGGAGTCAGCCGTGTGCACACGTGCTGTAGAAAGTTGCTGTTTAGCCTCTGTGTTTCATCATTAGAATATGTTGTGTATGGGAGACATTGACCTAAGGTGCACCAGAATTGTCAAATTTATCATGCACCGTGTAATATTTCACGGTTTCCCCTAAATCTCTACCTCTGGGAGAGTAATGGTGAATAATGAATGACATGGAAGGTCAGTTTCATTTGCTCTTTCTTGAAGAAAAGGCTGTTTCTATCCTTTTGATTGCATGGAAAAATCTTAAAATAGTTCCAACTATACCCTAAAATAGCAAAAACCTGAAAGGAAGTCAATGACATACATAATTTTTATTTTTTAAAAAGTATGGCCCTACTGAAGCACACAGTGACCTTGAATATGTCACCATATCGCTTTAAAAAGGATGAAAAACTATTAGCAGTTTCTTGCAGTTTGGACTTTAAAGCCAACCAGGACAATGCCTCTTCCTGATTTTTCTACTTCAACATTGTATTACTACTAATAATAGTAATAGAGTTGACAATTAGTTGCTGATTTCTAGAAAGACATTTATTTGAATAATATAATCTCTCTTGCAGGTCAAATGCCATTCACAGGGTGCTTGCATTTTTGCAAATGTTTCCTTTTTTAAAACATGAACTGAACGAAGGGATAAACAAATGATGTGGGAGTTCATCACAAGGGCTGGCTCTTGATGATTAAAAAGGACTTCTTTAGTTGTGCTTGAGCACAACTACATGTGACATTTTTTATATATCTTATATGTGTTATCCCTTGTGTAGCAGCTTAATTTGCACTTCCAAAGAACATCAGCAAATCTTTCCTGTTTCCTTAGAAAATGTTATTTTTGTCATCCCATTCCTGTAAGCAAACTCATTTCGTGCAGTAGTCCCTCAGGTCAAATACACCAAAAGCAATACCTCCTCTAAGCAAATATCAGCATAATGCATTTAGGCATTTTTTTTCATATTTTAATAATATAAAATTCTGGCAGAGTTCTGATTTATTCCATGCATGTTAAGTAAACAGCCTATTTTGATACCCTTTTTTGCAATACAAAAGCTTTGCTTACATTAGTGACTTAAAACCTCCTCGGACCCTTTTGAGATGGAAATACACTCAGGGAAATGTTTCAGCCTTGCTTGGATTGATGGAGCAATGGAGGAAAGTAAAGCATGCCTGTTTCATTGTATGGGGACAGGAAAAAAGTTCTGATATTTCATAATGAGAAATCATCCTCAAAAGAATGCCCCTTTTTCCTTTTTAAAGACTTATTCTTAAGAATTCTCCTTTCTGCTCTGACTGCTTCTTGAGGCACTAGATATCAAATGCATTTTGTCCTTTAAAATTATGGTTAAAAGCAGTTTTGAAACCCATTTGAGCAGAGTTCTCACACTAATGCCTGGCAGTTCAGTGGGACTTCTCTCAAGACAGATGTTTACTTAACAGTACTTCAAACCTAAGTGGGAAAATGTGGACTTTTAGTTCAAAATGAGTATGTCATTAAGGGTCTGATGCAAAGCCCGGGAGAATCCATAAAAATGTCCTGAGACAGACAAGATGAGATAGGTTATGTTAAATATGCATGTTAGAGGGCGCAGAAAAAGAAATTGCAGAGCTGACCATGTGCAGCGATGGTTGTGACAAGGAGTCTTGTGGACC